GGGCAGAGCAGGGCAGAGCAGGGCAGAGCAGGGCAGAGCAGGGCAGAGCAGGGCAGAGCAGGGCAGAGCAGGGCAGAGCAGGGCAGAGCAGGGCAGAGCAGGGCAGAGCAGGGCAGAGCAGGGCAGAGCAGGGCAGAGCAGGGCAGAGCAGGGCAGAGCAGGGCAGAGCAGGGCAGAGCAGGGCAGAGCAGGGCAGAGCAGGGCAGAGCAGGGCAGAGCACATTTCATCGCTGCGCAGCGCAACGAAACACACCAAAATAACTATAACTAGCTTTTTGATTTATTATTTGGCAGGTTGTGGTCGATCCTACGACAATTTGACAGGAGTTGCCAAGTGTCGAGATGACCACAAAGCTATTTTACAGACCGGAGATCCCATAGGATGCGCCTCTACTGACCACGTTGCAGCTGTTGCAATAGCTGCTGGCTTGAACGCAACTCGCAAAAAGTCCTTTGCGTTTGGAAGCTGTGACCAAACTTGTCCTCGTCAACTACTTGCATCAGAATGTGTTGGATCCTTACCATGTCTTAAACTCACTCAAGATTTGAAGGTTTTTACGATTTGCTCGAAATTTAGTGACAGCGCCTTCGTGGTTCGTGAAGAGAAGGATCTCTTTTATTACAAYACGACTTACAAGTTTCTCCAGTTGCAAATAACATCCTCTACTTCAAGGTAAAGAACCGTTTTAATAGAAGTAGTTTGCAGCAAACACGTTTATATTGCGCAAGCCATACAAATAAGATATTCCTTTGATAAAGTTCGGCCTTTGGACACTCAAACCTCAAACCAAACGTTCGCCACTGATTCATATAATCAATAGACAATCATTAATCATTGTTCATCACATCGGACTGATCGCCTCAACAAGCGCAGGTAGTCGTCTCTTTGATTTCCCTCAGTCTTAATAATCATGCAGCTGCTTAAAGTTGAGATCTTGCTCCGGTTCAAGTACACAGATTTTAATCAACAATTGGCCTCAATTGGAACAAATATCAGAGAAGATATCCCATTATATATACATGAAATACATCTCAAAACGATTATAATTTCTGCATATTGCTGTACTTTAATGATACAAAAATATTATTAGATATAATAATTTTGTAATAGATATTTTTGACATAATTTTAGGCACGAAAATTGGTGTCGCGACTACCAAAGGCTTTGTGAATCATATGCATTGCGTCCAGTGGCTTTTAGTAAGCAMTACGAATACGATTTCWATTATTGGACACCAGGAAGAGAATATCATGCTGTGGTGGAGCCTGACTTGCGATTTACAAGCAAAGGCAATGACAGGATTAATACCTTAGCAAAACTAGTTGGTTTTCAATCTACGACCACCAATACATTTACAATACGAGTAGCTTTCGGCTCCTATATCTGTAAAAACACCATACCATCCTCAGGCAGCAGTAGTAATTTATACTATATGAGCTATGGAAACAGACATAAGATGTTCACGGCTTGCTCTGATGGTGGTTCGCTCAGTTTATTTAGTGTTCTAGCCTATCGAAATATCACYTTCCAAAACACCCACTTCCTTGCCCTGAAAACAAAAGTTCAAACTCAAGTCAATCGTCAGAATTGGTGCAAAGAATATCAGAGTTTGTGTGAATCTTTTAACTTGCAGCCCGTTGGATGCAGTGCAGATTACAAGGACGTTGAAAATACTAAATGTCGAGATGTTTACCGTTCTATGGTGTCTAAACGCGACGTCTTTGGATGTCCGCCCTACGATAAAGCGACTGAATTCGTGAATTTGGCAGGATTCTCAGACGCAAACATTAATAATACTTTTGTTTTCCATGAGTGTGATCAATGCACAGGAAATATTCCAAACGACTGCTCATCAGGATTTGTTCAAGTTCCTTGTATTGGAGCAAGATTAAGCAACCAAGTTGCATATACGTTGTGTTCAGAGGCAGACGGTGCTTTCTCGGTCCTGAGCAGTTACAGTACGTCACGGGAAAATGTCCCACTCCTTACACTTCACGT